TGGCACAGCGGTATGTCTGCGGACTTATACCGCTAGAACCCGGGTTTCGATACCCGTGGTGGGCATTAATGTTGGAAAACTAGCAAATATACTCGATCTTCCAATTTCTTTACCCCTTATTTACTTTGTCTAGTGTAAGAGATAGAGGACGACTGACCACGTGTTTTTAAGGAGAAAGAGGCATTCTGGTTTCGTAATGCTTCAAATAGGTCACATTTCAGTAGTGTCGTATCTCTTGCTCGTTTCTTATTTATTTTCACACTTCCTTATTCTCTAGCCCTTCTGAATTTGTTTCTTTTATATGTATGCATATAAGAACCCTCGCTAAAGCTTTCCTCTCCTTGCGTGGGCATGTTAAGGGGTCAAGACGTGTCAACAGGTTTGTGCTGTTACATTTATGGGTAGTACATCCTAGCACGTGTATCGCAGTACGTGACACAAAATGCCTCGTGATCACGTTCCTTATGAGCCTTTGCTAAACAACGTTTCTGTTAAGTCACGTTTCACGGGGTTTATAATGTCAAGACTGTCTCTTGGATAGTAGATAAGTTTACTAAACAAATATAAATTTAAACTCGTATTGACGTCCCAGTGCTAAAAATTATTTAATATTTCCATTAGTCAAATTCAGGGTATGAGTTGGTTCTTCTTCTTCTTCTAAATTACTCTTATCTAAGCAAAGTATTCGTGAAAATTATACTAATCAAAATCTTACAATGATGTAAAGTCAAACGAAGATAGTCAATATGAACTGACACAATGGGCTATTTGTGCTCTGCCCATCACGGGTATCGAAACCCGGTTTATAGCGCTGTAAATCCGCAGACATACCGTTGTGCCACTGGGGGCCTAAACGATAGAAGGAAATAATAAATGAACGATAAACATAATCATAAAAAAAAATTTACTATCTCACACTACGGCCCCAAAAAGCAGAGCGTATTTTTACGGCAACGGGTCATGAACTCATCGGAGTGCAGGCACACTAATAACCTACACAGTAAGAACTACTTCCAAACATATGGGAAACCAATAATCTCCTCCAGTGGGTGAAAATGAAACATGAAATGATTGAATAACCATTTATTCAGAGAAGCAAACTCTAGAGGGCGTCATATAAAACAAATTGGAAAATAGGTTTTAATGACTTGTAACTTGAATAAGATTTTATACTTTCTTTTCCTAGACTAAATTACAGTTATTAAGATTACTTGTTTGTAATTCCATAGAGTACAAAGGTGAATGTTTGTTATGACATCATAAATTTAATTAATGGACTAAGTGGATTTTACTTGCATATAATTACTGTTTTTGCATCCTATAATTTCTCTGCCAAACTTCTGCCTACTTTTTTCTTTAAAATCATTAAAGTGCGATATTTGTGAAAGATTAGTAAGGCGTGTTTTTAAACAAAGTCGATGTCAAAGTGTGAAAGATTAGTAAGGCGTGTTTTTAAACAAAGTCGATGTCAAAGTGTGAAAGATTAGTAAGGCGTGTTTTTAAACAAAGTCGATATCAAAGTTACCTACACCATGTTGTTAGAGGAAGGATCTACATATCAGATATAATGGTCCTGGATTTCCCATTATTAGGTTACGTAATAACGACATCTTGTTATCTTGACCGTCTATTCTTTGATTATGAAATATATTATATTAACAGTACATATAAAAGGTCATATGCGGTGGAACAAATTTAAATCGGGGGGGGGGGGGATTAGAGACACCCTCTTTGCTATACTAACCGTAACCATTAAAAGTTGAAACAACGACTTTCCTTGATAATTATATCTTTATTATCTCCATTCCTCATTAAAAGGGGCAGCTTGTTACCGGGTTAACATTTGCTGGGGGAGAACACCGCCATCAGTATCCCCTTTTAGTTTCTCCACCTATGGAAGGGTGTGTTGTGTATGATGATCCTAGATATGACTTTAATATTGAATATCGCTAATGAAAGATATAGCACGTGATCCTTTTTTTTTTACCTTTTATCCATGAAATGAGTAAACCATGTGTCAAATACGAATATCCTTAATTCAACCGTTAATAATTTTGCAAAGTATCTTAACTCGACCTAATAAACAAACCTCATATCAATTGCGGTGACCCTGGCTTCAACAGTTGATTAGCTTAATGAAAAATAAAACTTATTGTTTTGATCTTTTCGCCAAACACCCCTTCTTTTTATGAGATCTGAAGGACAGTTTAATTTTGGAGACAATAGCCAATTATCTATCAAAATTCTTGAGTCAAAAATCTGACAAGTTAACAAGATTAACATGATGACGACCTAAGCAGGTCGAAATTTGTTACTTTCGTTTTAAATAAAAAAATTAACTCCTATATCAATGGTCTCTGCTACAACATATACAACACTCAAAACTTACAACACGACTATCGCAAGGGAAGATAAATAATGGGAGCAGGACATCTTTCAGGTATTTTTGCTGTAACACTTTCCTTTATTTTTTTAGATCAAAGACAACATTTCTCGTTTTCTTATGAGGTTCTTGTCATGATCGACTTGCTGAGCAAAAACGAACGAAAACATACATACCTTATTTATTAGCATTGGCTCAAAGCCATGAATGTTATTTAGGATCTAAAATAGTAACGCTTCTTTTGCTTCTTTAAAGCAACGGTGGTTGAACGTCCAAATAGTTTAAAATAGTACTGTCAAAGCCGTAATTTTTATTATGTGTGTGTTTAGCGTAAATCACTTCTCAATGTCTCAGCAAATAGTAACCACAAGTTTATTGACGGTAGGCCTAACTGAATTCTGTCATTGGTGTTTCGCATGAATAACACTTGTTTATACCTCAACTAGCCCAAGTACTAAGAGTCTTGATGTAACTTGAAGTTTTCATTTGTCACTAAAAACTATATCAAAATATTTGGTATGTCGATGGTTTATCTTGACAATGAATAAAATTGAAATTCTGCGCATTCACAACTTATATTTAAATAAACACAAGAGGATGCCATAATTTTTTGTTTGTTTGTTGTTAAGCCCAAAGCTACACAATGGGCTATCTGTGCTGTGCCCACCACGAATATAGAAACCACATTTTTAGTGTTATAACCCCTCAGATACCGCTGAACCACCAGAGTGCGTGTAAAAGAAATGAAAGTCTTACTGTATAGATTTTACCGCTTAGTGTTCTTTAATAGGGAATTAGGGAAGTGTTTACCGTGTCAAAGGATGTCTAGTCAGTAAGGACCATCAAGCCTACTTTTTTGTTACTCTATACAGTAGATATAGGTAACTTGTTTTTACAGCCTCATGCTAGTAGTTATTTCTGTAAATTTACAAGCGTACGCTTATTATTTTTTTACTTTTAATTTTAACACTCACTGAATGGTATTTTCATACTTAAATCGAAAAACTAAATTAGAAAAATAATTTGTTAACAGTGAAAAGCGGTATGTCTATGGACTTACAACGCTAGAAACCGGGTTTCGGTTCCCGTGGTTGGCAGAGCACAGATAGCACTTTGTGTGGCTTTGTGCATAACTATCATACTACCAAACGCTCTGGCATCAAAATACTTAAAGAAACATTCCAAAATTTATATCAAAACTATACATTTCTCAAACGGAAACTTCACCGTAAAATATACTATTTTGTTAACAAACCTTAGTTTTCAAAACTTGTAGTAGCTCTGAAAACATTATGGGATTGTAAGTAAAAAGTCAACTTCTAAGATATTTGTTATACTACTTTCTAAAATGATTCTATATTTTATTTAAATGACTGTACTCTATTATACTATGTAGAGTAACTCCATAATCTTCACGCTTAAACGTGGTTCAGACGTTAAGAAGCAAGCAAAGAAACCCAACAAACCGAACTCTTTATAAGGTGGAGGAGGTTCATCCACAGCGAATTTGCGCCTTCCGAAAACAGTCTGTCGGTATCTGAACAATGTGGACCCTTGGGTATCTAAAAAATGTGGACTGTCGGGTTCTGAACAATGTGGACTGTTGAGTATCTAAACTATGTTGGCTTTTGGGTTCTGTAAAATGTGGGCTATTGGATGTCTAAATAATGTGGGCTTTCGGATTCTAAACAATGTAGGCTGTTGAGTATCTAAGCTATGTTGGCTGTTGGGTTCTGAAACAATGTGGGCTGTTGAGTATCTAAGCTGTGTTGACTGTTGGGTTCTGAAACAATGTGGGCTGTTGGATGTCTAAACAATGCGGGCTGTTGAGTATCTAAGCTATGTTGGCTGTTGGGTTCTGAAACAATCCGGGCTGTCGGTTGTTCTGGATTAAACCGGTTTCAAAACACACAATCCCTTCTCAGTCCCTTGGAAAAAGGCTCTAGATTATACTTGTTTCTATGAATATCATCCATTTTCATTCCCCTTTGATAAGCTTCTGGATCAGTTGCTGGGAATGTCATCCAGTTCTCATTCACCTTCGGTAAAACTTTGGCTTAGACCAGTTTCTGGGAATATCATCCCATATCAGCCATTTTGGGATAAGGCGTTAGATTACATTACTTTCTTGGAATATCATCCATTTTCATTCATTTTGGATAGTGTTTTTGATTAGACCAATTTGCGGAACTCACATCCCATCTTAGTGACTCTGGGTAAGGTTCTTAAAGAGACCAGTTTCTGTCAATACTGTCCATTCTCAATCCCCTTGGGTAAGGTTACGGTAAGATCAGTCTCAGTGTCATCTCGAGGAAGATCCACAGTAAAGAACGTCGAAAAAAAAAGGTAAGTTTAAATACTTTTATAAAAACTACATTATACGTATTTTAGTAAATGGGGTATTTTTACATGTTTTCCAAACAAAAATTAAGTTTAACAAAGGTTTTAGTTTTATTCGTATTTAGTCCTAATGTTTTTAATATTATATATGAAATAATAACGCACATGTAAAATATTCCCCTATAATAAGAGATTTGAGGATTTGGTAGCTGAATTGTTGCGTGAAAACGAGACAGACAAGTTTGACAAATAATCAACTAATCTGTATTTAACTAACCTTGTATTTTTGCTGGGCTAACGTGGCACAGCTAGGATAAAGCAACACAGTTTGCAAAGTCAGGCTGGTCGGTTGAAACAGGAACAATGTAAACAAGTGGACCTTACTTGCTGAGATTCCACACATTATACAGTTCGAAAGTTGTAATTCAGTCATGCTCATTGAGGCCTGGAAACTAAGTTACTTCACAACTCACCTGTGATAATTATATAAGAAATATCATAACCTAACTTATACATAATCGACGTAAGGGAATAATTATAACAGCTGACATTACCTTAAAATCTACAATCCCAGTACCGACTTTCACATGTCTCTGACAGATTTTTTGCTTTCCAGGACAAGTGCAGGAACTGAAAATGTGAAACAAGAAATGGCAGTTACGTTATAAACTATAAGAGAGTAAAACTAAGACAAAATCGTCGTATAGACATTAGAAGTGATTTAGAGATATAGATTAGACGATTAATTATATGTTATATATTTTTTCAGAGCAAATATAATATTCGATACTTTCACAGCTTTCCTGTGTGGAAGTGGTCAGAACCTAAACAATATGAATATTAACAATATTAAGTTACACTAAAACAATCAAAGTGTGCTAGCTTCTCATGGACGAACACGTTTGGACGCTGGTTGGAAAAGGTTAACTTTGAAGCGATCATCTTTCCCTGAAAGACACAGTAAAACAAGGAACTGGTGAGGTTTGGTGGCAGCATTACAGAGATTTCTCCTGGGTGGCATAAACTTCAGGATAAAACAACTCTTCTTGCTTCAATTTGGTGAAATAACTGACTATATTGTTTTAAGCAAAGAACAGATCCAGAAAATATTGTTTTAAATAAACATTTACACAAGGAAGTTACTTAATGACATGCTCATTTGACATCTGCAATTGGGCTAGAAAAATGTAAAACCTCTGAAAACATGTTATATAACAACAACTGTTTTTTTAGCCACATATAAAGTAAAATACAGTTTTAAGAATAATTCAGTATTTCACTCTAAAATAGTTGCAATCACTAAGAAAAGAATGTGATCAGATATATACTTATTTAGTCGATAATGAAAGATTACGATGCAATGTGTTAGTAAAGCTGCGTCTTTATTTTATTTCAGTTTGACACACACATCTTTACGTAATCATAATGCGTAATTAGGCATAATTGTAATAATATTGAAAATATGTGCAAAAACCTCATACGGTTCTAAACTGAGAGTTTTTTTTTAAATTTATTTTTTAAAACTGTGAATATTCAAAAACGAGGACAAAATGTAAGAACGTTTTCACGAATGAAACTAAATATTTTTGTCTTTGAGAACAGGGATGGATATAATAACTGTGGTTCAATCCATTAGCAGAGTTGTTATGAATCTTATAAACGCTAAAATAAAACATTCACTTACACATACATATTTATCCAGTCACGCTATTTGTGATAACATTGTAGGAACTGACAAGCAAGTCTGGTATATTGAAAAAAAATTATCGAAAAGGAAATCTGGAATTCAGAAATATAAGTTTTGATTTAATGATGAAGTTACACTTGTCCAAAACCTCACCTACTAAAAATAAATCAAAGATATAACCATAAAAACTTATCTTCAAAAAATAAAAATGCAAGGATAAAGTTATAACAGCAGGATCTTTCAATCATAAGACTACAGTCATTATGAACTCACAGATATTGTGATACACGTTGAATTATGGAAAAAATACTTGTCCTCCCCAGTGACACAGCAGTATGTTTATGGATTTACAGCGCTAGAAACTGGGTTTCTATACCCTTGGTGGACAGAGCACAGATAGCCCATTGCTTAGCTTTGTGCTTAATTTTAAACGAAAAAAAAATACTTATGTTATTTTACTAAATGTTTAGCCCCCAGTGGCACAGCAGTATGTCTGCGGACTTACAACGCTAGAATCCGGGCTTTGATACCCGTGGTGGGCAGAGCATAGATAGCCCATTGTGTAGCTTTGTGCTTAATTAAAACAAACAAACTAACTAAATGTTTAAATTTAACTTAATCGAATTGAATTTGATGTAATTGAAAAACTGTTAAAATATCTATTTACAGATTCTTTTTACCAGTTTCAGTTTTATTATTTCTAATGTTTACATAAGTATGTTGTTAGTCGTCTCTGTTACAGTATGACTTCTCAGATTTAAGAAAAATTATGACGGCCAAAGGTCTCAACGTATCTCAAAAATCGCGCCCAAAAGAAGTTATTTCATCTCTTTCACCGAACAACAGGGACGAACAAACATCTAAAAATTTCTTACACAAACTACTGTCGTTAGGAAACAAAAGGTCAAAATACTAATGTTTTTTCACGCGCTTCTATTTGAATATAAACATCTTTGAGCTGAACGTTGCTTAGTGGTTAGAATGTCGGGCTGCAGATCAAAAGGTTTGGAGTTCGAGATGTAATGCCCCTGAACACCTTCCACATTTTCCTAATAAAAGTGGCAGTCAGTCCCGTTATCCGGTTCAAAACATTGGACAAAAGCCTTATAGCGGCTGGAGTTGCTGGCTGCTTACAGTCATAAAAAACACAGAATAAATCATTTAACTATCGTAAAGTTTTTGAGGTTGATAATGAAGGCCAATGAAATGTAAATAGAATTTTGTTTGAAGAATGGCAGGTATGACTTACTGATGATATATATATATATATATATATTTGTTTGTTATTAAGCATAAAGCTGCACAATGGGCTATCTGTGCTCTGCCCACCGCGGGTATCGAAACCAGATGTTTAGCACTATAAGCCACCAGACTTTAAAAATGGTTAAATATAATATAATTGGTCTACTAAGTTAAGGTTATCGAGAAATCCGTCAAAGTGGTAAATAACGTCCTATCTTAAAATATAAGCTTGAAGGTTTCAAAAACTTCATTTAAAAGCAGAATAAAAGATATATTAATAGATTAAATGACGAGTTCAACTGACACTACAATTCCTCCCACGATACAAATTTTGTTGATTTATTAAAATCTGCAAATATGCGTAAAAGCTCTCAGACAGAACGGATACATAAAAGATATTTTATTAACAATATTTCTTAACCAGTTATTTAAGCGAAGTGAAAAGGCCTCTAGCGATCAGGAAGAAAACTAATTACTTGTCATAGGAAACCTAATTACTAAGCTTACGTAACAAACTCCATGTGCTTGCTATCACCAGTTAGATCGATGTTAAGATACGCCCGCCCACTGTAGTTTCGTGCGCGTCTGATTAACACACAGTTAATGATCTCTTTATTTAAAAGTTCGTTTCTTGTTAATTTAAAATGATAATTAAGTGTTGACTCACGATGCTCTGAACACGAAAAATTACGCATATCCCCCATTTCTGTTCGTTCAATGTTTTGTAAATAAAACCAAGCTTCTTTTGTTTTTCTTTTACACAAAATTTTACAAAAACAAAACAAAAACACTCACTACAGATAAACTTAGTTTCAAATTAGATCGACGCAACTTTAAGCTGAAGTATATTCAGCTAAACGGTGTAGTTTGACAACAGAATTGTATAATAAGTTAGTAGAAACTGTTTAAATCAGCGAAGCAGCCTCTCCTACAGAGACAAGGTTCCTTGGTGGAAGATTGTTATAATTCTAACCAGTACACAATTGTTAAATACAATTACATTTATATAATTGAAAGTTAGGGGAGGTAGAGGAGGGGGTTGCAAACATTTAATATGATCCGAATTCCTGAACTCACCATGCTAATAGTTATTGACATGTCTCACATGTCTCGCTCTAAGAATATACAGCTCTTGCACGTGTTTGCCTGGACAAACGCCTTAACCCACCATCAGTAGCGTCGTAGAGAATAGCATTTCGTTGACTGAAAAATACCTTAGGAATCCCACAACGTCGTCTACGAAGCGATCACACGCATAAGTGGCAGATGCAGAGACTACACCAATGCTTGTTTTTGTGGGGAAACATGCACTCAAATTTAGCGTACTAGGTAAACTAGATAGTTAAAAATTGTGTGCTAAATAAATGAACCCACAAATGCTTTGCTGTTTGCTTAGTTCCAGATGAGCTGGAGTGAGGTTATAAGACGCCTCACTTCTATCTGGACTAAGCTGATTCAGGAGGTCTATCAGCAAATCTTCCAGCGTGAGAGATTACTGATATATAAACCTCATATATACAATATCCCCTGAAAGAAATTTCATAGAAATATTAACACCCTCTGTGTTGCTTACTTTCCTCCTCGTAGAGGATAAGCAACTTATAATACATGAAATATCTTTAAAGCATACCCCTTGGGGGTGAGCGGATAATCGTAAATGAGTGCCCTAATTTGTCACATAGAACTCTTTCAGACCAGTTAATTCTGTCAATTTTGTCAGACATCTCTGAGTACCCATCTTTCACGAGTTGAAACTATATTATCAAATGAATATATTGTGCTCTTAGTGCTGTTATCTCATATAATAACGCCGTTTCGGGGCTCTTAAAATATACTCAGATTTCAGCTCTTGTTTCATTTAGTTGAAAAGCAATTAGACTATAAAGTTATGTCCCCATTTTTGTATGGTGTAGTTTACGTATTGATTTCATGAGGCGAAACAACATCTCAATACGTTTTAAGGCAAAGTTTGAGGATTGGTTAAACATTATAGATATAAAAAAAAATAAAGTGCATACACTTAAGTGACACTGATCCTAAAATATTATGTATTATAGCAGTGATTACCAGTGTATACAGCAAGTTTTAGTCTTATAAGAAAGCAGTTTGAGAAATTCCACTGACAAACGAACGCACAATTTTCAAGAGAGTAAAACCGAATTACTTGTGACGAATATTTTTGGATGAAATTAGAATTTTTTTTTTTATTTGAACAACTTCACATAGTATATTTACTGGAAGGAGGCAACATTTACTTAAGATTGTAAGAAGGTAAATGATTTGTGAAATCATGGTGCACTTATGTACATTCTCTAGTGACTTGTATGTTACAGTTGTATGTTTGGAAACAGTTTCATTCGATATATACTCAGGTTGATACCAACGAAACGTCTCCTCACATAGAAAATATGTGGTCCATGATAATGTTGACTCATTATCTTGTAAATGTTATTTTTTATTTTTTTTCTCATATATATATATATATCAGTAGCGTAGAAAGGTGGGGGGGGGCTCGCCCCGCCCCCACCTTCAATTTTCAATGTGTTCCAGTAAAAAGGCATCAAAATTAGATAATTTTTTCTCAGGAAAACCAGGAGAATGCATAAAATTTAATCCAGAGTCAAAGAATTTCCAGGGTCCTAAGGCGTCCCCTGGACACCGGCCTTAATGGGTGCGCCTGTGACACATTCCCTCGCTTCGC